CACTGACCTTGCTGCTCCCCCTGCCAATCCTACAAGAGGAAGGCTTCTATGTGGACCCCTACTAATGGTCGTAATGAGAGTCTTGATTTGCATACCAACTGCTTCCACAAATGTACTCGCGCTGACACTGTCAGCAAACAACAACATATAACCTCAGTCATGCAGAACACAATGCTATACACAGCCTCAAAAACAATTCTAACATCATAATCAAAGAGGCTGACAAAGGGGGCCCTGTAGTCATCATGAACAGAACAGATGAACAGGAGGCAACCAGACAACTCACCAATACCATATTCTGCAAGCCTCTCTCCTGAGATCCCACTAAAGAATACCAAAAAACCCTGAAACAACTGCTCATCAAGCTCCCTAATGCTGCTCAGGAACAAATTTACACTAACACCTCCTCCTCCAAATCCCTGACCAGGAGTTTTCTATTTGCTACCCAAGATACACAAACCTGGAAATCCCGGACAGCCCATCATTTCAAGCACTGGCACACTTACAACAGGATTATCTGGCTATATTGATTCCCTCCTCAGACCCTATGTTACCAGCCCTCCTAGACCCCTCCGCAACACCACTGACTTCCTGAGGAAACTTCAAAACATCAGTAATCTACCTGAAAATACCATCCTGGCCTCTATGGACGTAGAAGCCCTTTACAGCAACATTCCACATGAGGACAGATTACAGGCCCTCAGGAACACCATCCCCGATAACAGCACCTGATCACAGAGCTCTGCGACTTTGTCCTCACTCACAACTACTTCCGATTCAGAGACAATTTGTACCTCTAAGTCAGCGGCACAGCCATGGGCACCTGCATGGCACCACAATATGCCAACACCTTTATGGCTGACCTTGAACGACGTTTCCTCAGCTATCCTCCCCTAAAACTTTTACTTTACTTACGCTATATCGATGACATCTTCATCATATGGACCCACAGGAAAGAGACCCTTGAAGAATTTCACAAGAATTTCAACAACTTCCACCCCACCATCAACCTTAGCCTGGATCAGTCCACATGAGAAATCCACTTCCTTGACACTACAGTACAATTAAATGATGGGACAAATTTCCACCACCCTATACCGGAAACCTACCAACTACTACACTTACCTTCATGCCTCCAGCTTCCATCCCAGACACATTTCTCAATCTATTATATATAGCCAAACCCTAAGATACAACCGGATTTGCTCCGATCCCATAGACAGAGAAACACCTATAGGAGCTATGTAGAGCATTCTTAAAACTGAAATACCCACCTGCAGAAGTGAAAAAACAGATTGACAGTCAAAAAAGTACCTTGACATGAACTACTTCAAGACAGACCCAAAAGGAAAACAACAGAATTCCATTTGTCATTACCTACAGTCCACAACTTAAAACCCTCCAACACATTATCCACAATCTACAACCTATCTTGGAAAATGACCCTTCACTCTCAGAGGCCTTGGGTGAAAGGCCTATTCTCACTTATAGACAACCCCCTAACCTGAAACAAATGCTTTCCAGTAACCATGCCACACAGCTACACCATAAGTATCCAGGAACCCACCCCTGCAATCAACACAGTGCCAACTCTGCCCACACATCAATACAAGTGATTTCATCACTGGACCCAACCACATCAGCCACCAAATCAGAGGCTCATTTAACTGCACATCCAGTAATGTGATCTATGCCATCAAATGCCAGCAATGCCCCACTGCAATATATATTAGACAACCTGGACAGTCCCCATGGGAAAGATTAATGGACACAAATCAGATATCTTAAAAGGCAACACACAAAAACCTGTTGGGGAACACTTTAACCTTCTTGGACACTCATTAATGGATCGCCAAGTTGCTGTTTTGTTTCAGACCAATTCCACAAGCCAAATACACAGAGAAGGATTGGAACTCCACTTCATTCACAAGTTTAATTCTCATGCTAATAGTCTAAATCGCTATATCGGATGGCTTGTACATTATCAACCAACTAAACAATGAAGGTGCCAATGGTTCTTGATGTCTGTGTAGTGCAAACTAAAGGTTCTTATCAGCCTCTTTTAACTATTTAGTCTTTAAGGTGCTAAAAGACTACTGGTTGTTTTTTAAAGTTTTTCCTGTTACAGACTGGCTCGCTATCCCTTTGAAACTTATCTATCCACTGTCTCCCCGCCCTCCGATTTTTTTTCTTCTTCCCTCCTCCCTCCCTCCTGCCCTTATTTATTCTTGGTTCTGAATTTCTAACACTCTGGTCATCTGAAGAAGTGGGTTGTGCCCACAAAAGCTCATGATACGATCTACATGTTTTGTTAGTCTTTAATGTGCTACTAAACTATTTGTTGTTTTGTAAGTTTAGATTAATCATGTACACTAATGGCAACTCAGTATAAAATTGCTCATTTGTGCGTTGAACTCTGCACATTTTTGCACACCTAGTTAATGGAACGTGAATGAAATAATAAGATTCTTATTGTTTACCTTTTCCATTAATATAGCACTTATGTCGTCCTTCAGAGTGCTAGTATTAGTGTGTTAAGAGGAAAAGTCACTGATGGATAGTTTAGCCAATTGTTCATTACAGCATTTCTATACAGCTGGTCTTGAGCCCTGTCAGGGACAAAACACTGGGCAAGAAGCCCTACCATTCTGATCTGGTAATTTTTACTATTCAATTTTCATCCTAAAACTTGTAACTTAGTGGGAGTTTGGTGGCATTCTCACTTACCTCCTTTATCTATTACTAAAATACTTATCCAGCATTACCCAGTCCTTCAAAGTAGGGGACTAGCAGTGCAGAGGGTGCAGGAGTCAGCCGTGGAGATGGGTGTGTGTGTGCGCAGAGTAAGTGGCTGGGGTTGTGGGAGATGCAGGAGTCATGGTGGAGGGTTGAGGAGGGGCTCCGGGTGCGGGGTCCCATCCAGTGGGATTTACTCCTCCAGCCAGCAGGGCCTTCTCTCCCTCTCCAGCCTCTCCCCTCCCTGCAAGATGGCAGGGGCCTTCTCTCTCTCCATAGTCCTCCTCCCCAACCAGAGGCCATCTCTCTCCCCACAGCATCCCTGGTCGACAGGGGTCTTTTCTCGCCCCACAGCCGGCAGTGGCCTTTTCTCTCCCTCTAGTCCTCTCCCCCCCCCCAGTCAGTGGTGGCCTTTTCTCTTGCCCTAGGGCCCCCTCCCCATTTGGTAGGGCCTTTCTTGCTCTCCCATCTGGCAGGACTTTCTCCCTCCACTGCCCCCCAGTGCTGCAGCCAAGGGCCTGAGATGGGAGGAGAAAGGGTTAGAGGCAGGGGGTCCAGTGTGGTGGCATGCAAGATGGTGAACTTCCACCTGAGCTGCCCACTTTCTTGGTGGTGCAGCTGCCTCGAGTGGTCACTCTACGTTATAGCTCTCCCCTGCATTTGCTACCCCCATTGGCCACTGGGAGCATTAAGTCTCTCCTCTCTGCCCCTTCCCTTTCCATGTTATGGAAAACAGTCTCATTCCAGGGACTTCCCATTTTCCTGGCACAACCAAACCCTGGCCTTGCATTATGATAAGAGGAAGCTGCATACCAAATTTGATGGCCCTAACTCTTACAGTTTAGGAGGAGTTCTTGAACAAATGAATTTGGAGACACGCAAATAGACAGATGGACTCACAGGTGATTTTTCACATGAGGTCTTTATTGCTGATATATGAAGCTACCATTGAAAGGGTCTTGAAATTTATAGTTTTAAACATTTGGCTCTTGAACTTTAAAAAAAAGGTCATTATTATAGCTATATATTTTTACTTTATCGTTACTCATCCAGTATAAGAATTCTGAATAATATTTTCAAAAGCAGGTAAGTGACTTACACATTTAGAAGTTTAAATAGTTTTCAGTAAGACATAGGCTCCTAAGTCACTTGGGTGTTTTTTCCAAATTTTATCTACCATCCCAATTGTATTTCTCCAAAACTGTTTATCCAGTCCAAAATGATTCAAAGAGGGTTTTTTTTAAACTAATTTCAAACAAATTCATCAGATTCACTTACTACAAAAATTGCTCTTGGAGAACATCAAATTCCAAACTGAAACTTGCCTTTATGGTGTTTGCTAATCAATAAAGAATAATCAATTATTCTTTATAATTAAACAGAAGTCTGAGAGAGCTCTAAACCACAACTATGGCACTAGCTCATATTGTTACCTCATATTTTATAAGCATTATCCAAGATAAATCCTATGGGTACATTCAGATATGGTACAAGGAAGTGCAAACTCTTTTACTATGTATTCAACCTCTTCCCCAAAAAGATTTCTAGCAATCCTCTGTTTAATAACTTTCCTAGATTTTAAAATAATGCTCTTTTTAAATGATACTCACACCATTAAACTATGTTAATGATATTTCATCTTCACTCATTTACAAAAAAGTGAATTACCTGCAAACTATCATATTCCTTATTTATGTATCATATCCATTCATCTTTTTTCTTATCAATGTGGGGTAAATAAACAAATTAACCTTATTCTCTTAGTCTATGAAATATAAAACATGTTCATAGTATGAGATGCAAATAGAATGGAGGCATTTTCCTCCAGATTCAAGAACCACAAATAAATGATTTTTTATTTATATTGCAGATAGCAATTAGCAGAATCTCAAATTAACAGGTCTGACTCTTCTTTTGAAATCAAGAGAGAAATGCATTCATTACATATTAACGATAAAAATGAGTGATAATCATGTTATATGGGTTATTCATTTACCTACTCCATAATCCTTATCACATCTCTTGCAAAACAACTTTCGGCCTTACACTTATTAATCCTTATAAAGCAAAGTGTAAACTCTCTGTAAAAATAGGCAAACACTTGGATTCTTATGTATTAAATCTAAAAAGTAAACCCTGGAAAAAGAGCAAAAGCTCGAGATTAATTTGAAACAAAGAGCAACAAATGTTATCAGTAAGAAACAAAAACAAAACTAAACAAAAAAAAAAAAAAAAAAAGGAAAAGCATAAGTTACCTGACTTATATCCATGCAGCTTTTTCCTGCCGTGTAGGTGCTAATAGTACAACAGTATAAGGAGGAGCATCGGTAGGTTCAACCACAATCTTGAAATCAAGGTGACCAAAAACTTGCCCAGAACCTTTTGCTTCATAATTCAGGGTGAGGGGGAGAAAGAAAAAAGCAGTTGTGATTTAAAAGTTGTATGTAAACAAATGTACTGTTTACATTTACACTTAGAAGTATTTTAAACCTCCCTCTGCCAAACAACCACCATTATCCTCCAAAGCAATGACCACATCTTCACATATATCAAGTACAAGCAAAGTTTGGGAAAAATGAATACATGAGTACTAATGAATGGGACTTGATGTGAAGTACAAATATCAGGAATAACGGTTTAGTAATCACCATAAAGTTTCAGTTTGGAATTTAAGGTTTCCAAATGACTGAGTAAGGCCCTAATCTTACAAACATGTCTCCATGTGTTTTATAATTTAAACACATGAGAAAAATCATTAAACTTAATGAAACTATTCTCATGCTCAAATTTCAAAATCTATGGGATTGGAACCAAACAATTTTAAAAAAAGCAAAGTAATACATTTTGTTACTTAATTTGAACAAGATCGGAGTTACGATTTACAGGATCCAGAACAAAATTTTCAACCAGCTCAACCAACTATTTCATCTCTCCCCAGTCTTCAAGAAAACAAATTATCTCTAACTTCTTTTTCAAGACAGGATTTTGTTTATTTAAGATCTTCAAGTCTAAATTTCCTCACAAAAAAACAGAAAATAATTTGTTACACTGGTTCATCTATTTACTTGAAATCTTATCAGCAAGAACAAAATGCATATTTTTAAACAGAGTTTTTACATGTAGTTTTTAACACTACTTCTCAGACTTCATGAAAAAGTAAAATATATCATTTGCTATACTGTCAAATAAAGAAAGGGTAGCACTTTAAAAAAACTGCTTTGACGTTATAATTACTATAAACAATTTAAAGCAACTTACAATCATCATCACTCACATCTGGTTCCTCAATCAGCGTACACTCTATTAAAGAGAGAACACCTCCTGTCTATGGAAACAAAGAAAATTTTTCAGTAACTTGGGGGGTTACCCTTCTCATTAAAGTTATTTTTAAGCTTTGTTAGAATTTAATTTTAGAAAGACCCTTTAATTTAAGAGCACAATTTTTTCAAGAAGATAGAACACTATTAGAACCCAGAGGGTGAATGAAAGTATAATTTATAGTGCATTTTTCCAAATTCAAATAAATCAATAACTTATTCACTTTTACAAAAACGTGTTGCCTTTTCCTGTCCCGAATTCATCCATCACAATTAGATCCACTGGGTGATATAATTAAAGCATCTGGACTCATACCCAAAAATTCTAAATCAGGTGAATGGAGGATGTTTTCCAAGGTTTCACTAAGTTTAGTTTACACTCAATACTACTGTACTATTCATGTGACTTCTCCCTTAGTGGTTTCTGCTGTGATTATTTCATTTTTTCTGAAGAGGTGGATTTCATTACTTCTGGCCTACTGAAAGCACAAAATACTAGAAATCTGAGAAATCTTGTTCTTGCAACATTTCTGACTAATTTGAACAAACATTCAAGGTATGCCTATACTACAGAGAAAATGGAAACTGCTGCTGTAGACCTTCCAGTGTTCAAATTAGTTGTCTAGTCAAGACATGCTAATTCAAACTGAGAGGGCAACTCTGGTCGATCCCGATAATCCTGCTTCCACGAGAAGTAAAGGGAAGTCAAAGGGAGAGTGTTCTCCCTTCGATTTCATGCAGTGTGGAGAACGCCAAAAGTCAAGTTAAGATACTTCGACTTCAGCTACGCAATTAACATAGCTGAAGTTGCATATCTTAATTCAACCTTATCTCGTAGTGTAGAGATACCCTCAGAGGTATAGTTTGCTCCAGTTTACATTTCCTGGACCCCATCAAAAGGTTTCCCCACTGTGTGCAAATCAATGCAAAATTTCCCCCCAATGTGAAGATACTTATTTAAATATGGTGCTTTGCCTCTGACTAAACCCAACACACTCCATAATAGCTTAATTGTATCCCATACAATTTAAATAAAGACTTCTTAAGATGTTCAATACGGTAAAGTATGTTGCTGCAAGAAATGATTTTTCTTTAAATTAATCCAGCTCTGTAAATTAGTTGACACCTCTACTAAACAAAGGCTAGGAAAGTTTGGCACTAGTTTACATAGGTATTTGACACGGTCTCCAATCTTAACAATTTCAATTAGAGAGGTCCATTTACAAACTTGTGTTCGCTATGAGTTTTGGCTGAGAAAGGACTTTGGAATTCAGCACCTTGGATTCAAATATGGAAACAATGTATAAGAATACCTAACACACGCTGAACGTTATACAGACTCCAGCATTTCTATTATACCTACCAGAAAAAAATGAGACTCTCTGCCTGAAATGAGACTGGGCATGCTGTGAGCAGGGGAATGATGCCATGAAGTCAGCTGGAGCTTCTTGGCATCTGACCTTTCATCCTCTAATATCCCTCCTTTGTTTCTCTGTTAGGAGCTAACAGTTTTGACATTTTCGTCAATTAGTTGGCTTTCTGGTGACCCCAAAAGGGTTGCAACAAGCTCCTAAAGTATGGATTTAAATAAATTCCTCTTATTTTGCCAATAAAGTCTTACAAGTCTGCCAGAAAAAGCAGAGCTCATTCTTCCTCCCTCTTCAGGAGCTGGACGAAAAATTATCTTTTCACCTGTTTAAAAGAGACACTCTTGATTTGGAAAAAATCACATTTTCATCTGAAATTTTTGAACCTGCTGCCATTGCAGGTAGCCCAAAATTGACAATAACTGAAAAAGATTAGAGAAAAAATACGTCTCTGGTTTCCATTTGCTTATACTCTGCATCACACCAAGATTGTTCAGACAGTATTTTTTGATGGTCCCTGTCATGCACTGATCTGGGAAAGCGGGTTTGGGGGCGGGGGAGCTACATATACACTCTTCCCCGGTGCTCTATCACACTGTTCATCAGGAACAGCTCCAGTAAAGCTGAACCATACAAAAACAAGAAAAATGTACACAAACATAGTGAGAGAGGAGGGCACAGAAGCAGCAAGTTTGGTGTTACTACTCTTGGGCCTGCATAAAAGACCCTTATTGAAATCAATTTAAAATATCAAATTCAGTGACCCTATAAAGAAGAGACAAGTGTCATGTATTTCTGGACTCTAGAGGCCAGAGTATTTGAACTAAAAGTGCTAAGGAAGAGAGGAACACAGATGGGACTTTCCGAGACATAGTAGAGCAATCCCATCCCCAATCTTGCAGCCTTGATGTTGAAGATGATGAAAGTCTTGAAGAACAACATCAGACTGGTTTAAGGAGAAGCAATCCCATAGTTAAGACCTTCTTTCCAGATGGTATCATGATACCCTCTCATTAAGTCTCTCACTCCAGGGGAGGGAATTAGGAAGAGACAGGCAATTGTAATGGGGGATTCAATCATTGGAAATATAGAAATCTGGGTTTGTGATGACTAGGAAAACTACATGGTAAATTGCCTGTCAAGTGCAAAGATTCCAGATCTCTTGAGACATCCCAGACATCCAGCACTGTGCTGTGCTTGGGAGGAGCTAGGGTATACGTAGGTACCAATGGCATAGGGAAAAGTAGGAGGTGGTGGTTCTAGAAGCCAAATTTAGGCTGCTAGGTCAGAGATTACAGTCCAGAACCTCCATGATAGCATGCTCTGAAATGCTTTTGCAGGGCCAGTTAGAGGAGCAGAATTGCAGGATCTCAAAGTGTGGATGAGATGATGGTGTTCAGAGAAGGGTTTATTAGGAAGTGGATAATGTTTTGGAAAAGGAGGAGCCTATCCAAGAAAAATGAGCTCCATCTAAACCAAAAGAGAACCAGGTAACTGACACGTAAACTTACAAAGATTGGGGAGTAGTCTTTTTTTAAAAGGTTGGGGGAAATGAAAAGCAAGGAAGAGCACAGTAAAGAACACAAGATAGAAGCTGATAAAGTACAAGTAGGGATTGAAGAGAAATAGTCAGATGAAAATGAGTCCCCCATTCTATTACATCACAGGAAGGCAGACAATTACATTTTGATACATTTTATTTGTATACAAATACTAGAATTCTAGATGCTAATAGGTTGCCCTTTAGTGCCTGGTATTAAATGAGGATATTGATTTAACAGGCATCCCGGAAACTTGATGGAATTATAGTAATCAAAGGAACACAGTAACACCAAAGTACCAAATACGTAGGAATAACACATTAGGTCGTGCTGGAGGAGTAATGGCAAATACATGAAAAAAAGCACAGAGTCAACTACAATAAGAATCTTAAATTAATCAAACAGTTCCATAGAATTGCTAAGGATAGAAATTCCCTGCTCAAAAAAATCAGATTACAATAGTAAGAATTAGGGCTGTGAAGCAATTAAAAACTTAAATGCAATTAACTGAGCAATTAAAAATATTAATGCCAATTAATTGTACTGTTAAACAATAATAGAATTCCATTTATTTAAATATTTTGGATGTTTCCTACATTTTCAAATATATTGGGCAATAGTGGGGGATTTCAGCAATCCACATATTGACTGGGTATAGACCACTTCAGATACAGAATGCAGAAATAAAATTTGTAGACACCATTAACGATAGCTTCTTGGAGTCCACAGGGGGAGAAGCAATTCTTGGTGTACTCCCAACTGGTATATAGGATCTGATCTAAGAGGTGAATATAACTGAATCACTCAGTAATAGTTATCCATAATATAATTACTTTTAACAGAGTACCAAACAAAACCACTGCCACCAAGTGTTTAATTTCCAAAAGGGGAACTACTAAAAAATGAGGAAGGTAGTGAAACAGAGTAAAAGGACAAGAGTGAAATGGCTACAAGCAGGATGGAAACTTTTTCAAAACGCCATAATAGATGCTCAAGCTAAATTTCTGCCCCAAATTTAAAAAAAACAGTAAGAGGACCAAAAAATTTCCACCATATCTAAACAAAGAAGTCAAAGAGCCGCTAAAGACAAAAAGACATCGTTTAAAAATTGGAAGTCAAATCCAAATGAGGAAAATAGAAAGGAGCATAAACTCTGGAAAGCCAAGGGTAGGCAGGCCAAAAAAGAATTTGAAGAACAACCCAGCAAAAGACCAAAAACTAATGGTAATTTTTTTTTCACACACACAAAAACAAGGAAGCTGTCAAACAATCAATGGAGTCACTGGGTAATCCAGGAGATAAAGGAGCACTCAAGAAAGACAAGGCTGTTGGAGAGAAGCTAAATTAATTCTTGGAATCAGTATTCATTATAGCAGATGTGAGGGAGATTCCTAAACCTGAGCCATTCTTTTAGCTGACAAATCTGAATTGTCAGTAGAGGATGTTTTAGACCAAATTGATAAATCAAACAGTAATAACTAACCAAGACCAGATGGCATTCACCAAGAGTCCTAAAAGGAACTCAGATATAAAATTACTGAACTACTAACTGTGGTATGCAACCTATCAATTAAATTACCTTCTAAGTACATAAGAATGGCCATACTGGGTCAGACCAACAGTCCATCTAGCCCAGTATCCTGTCTGCCGACAGTGGCCAATACCAGATGCCCCATTGGGAGAGAACACAACTGGTAATCCTCATGTGAGCCCTCTCCTCTCATCCAGATCCAGACAAACAGAGGCTAGGGACACCCTTTCTATCCAACCTGGCTAATAACCATTGATGGACCTATCCTCCATAAATCTATCTAGCTCTTTTTTTGAATTCCTAGCCCTCACCACATCCCTGACAAGGAGTTTCAGAGGTTGACTATGCACTGAGTGAAAAAAAACTTCCTTTTGTTTGTTTTAAACCTGCTGCCTATTAATTTCATTTGGTGACCCCAAATGTTCTTATAGTATGGAAATAATAAGTTCTTATATTATGGAAATAAGTAAATAACTTTTCCTTATTCATGTTTTCCACCCCAGTCATGATTTTATGGACCTCTATGACATCCCCCCTTAGTTTCCTCTTCTCTAACATGAAAAAGCCAAGTCATTTAAATCTCTCTTCATATGGGAACCCATTTCAAACCCCTAATCATTTTTGTTCCCCTTTTCTGAACCTTTTCCAATGCTAATACATCTTTTTTGAGATGAGGTGACCACATCTGTACGCAGTATACCATGGTTTTATATAGCAGAAATGAGATATTTTCTGTCTTATTCTCTATCCCATCTTTAATTATTCCTAACACTATTTGTTTTTTTGACTGCAGCTGTTCACTGAGTGGATGTTTTCAGAGAACTATCCACAATGACTCCAAGATCGCTCTCGAGTAGTTGTAGCTAAATTAATCCCCATCATATTGTATGTATAATTGGGATTATTTTTCCAGTGTGCATTACTTGAAATTTAATGTTGATAAATGTAATTTGCCATTTTGTTGCCCGATCACTTAGTTTGGTGAGATCTTTTTGAAGCTCTTCATAGTCTGCTTTGGTCTTAACTCTCTTGAGCAGTTTGGTATCATCTGCAAATTTTTCCACCTCACTGTTTACCCCTTTCTCTTGATCATTTATAAATAAGTTGAATAGTATTGATCCCAGGACAGATGTCTGGGGGACCCCACTAGTTACCTCTCTCCATTCTGAGACCTGACCATTTATTCCTACCCTTTCTTTCCTTTTAACCAGTTATCAAACCATGAGAGGACCTTCCCTCTTGTCCCATGACAACTTACTTTAGGTTCCCCTAATGAAACCTTATTATGGGACTAATTAAATAATTCATTTAGCTTCTCCACAATGACTTTATCATCTTTGAGTGCTCCTTTAGTATCTCGATTGTCCAAGGCTCCCACTGGTTGTTTAGCAGACTATACCAGGTGATTGGTGGGTAGCTGATGTGATGCCATTTTTTTTAAAAGGCACCAGATCCTGACAATTAGAGGCTAGTAAGCCAAAGTTCAGCACCAGGCAGATTGATTGAAATTATACTTAAAAAAAAGATCAGACTCAGCTTAACGTGACAAGTTGGAGAAGAGTCAACATGGCTTTTGCAAAGGGAAGTCATGTCTCGCCAATCTATTAGAATTCTTTGAGAGGATCAACAAACATGTGGGCAAGGGTGACTCAGTTGATACCATGTACTTGGACTTTTTGACAAAGTCCCACACTAATGGCTCTTACACAAACTAAGCAGTCATGGGATAAGCGGGTAGGTACTCTCGTGGATCTGTAAAAAAAATAGTAAAAAAGAATAGGAATAAAGGTCCGCTTTTACAATGGAGAGAGGTAAATAGTGTTTCCCAGGTATTTGTTCTGGGCCAGTGCTGTTCAACATATCCATAAATGATCTGAAAAAAGGGATGTACAGTGACATGGCAAACTCTGCAGATGATACCAAATTACTGGAGATAGTTAAGTCCAAAGCAGACTGCGAAGAATTAGGAAAGGATCTCACAAAATTGGGTGACCAAGCATCAAAATGGCAGATGAAATTCAATGTTGATAAATGCAAAGTAATGCGTATTGGAAAACATAATCCTAAGTATACATATAAAATGATGGTGTCTCAATTAAATGTCACCATTTTAGAAAGAGACATTGAAGTCATTATCGATAGTTCATTGAAAACATCCAGTCAATGTCAAAGTCAATGTCCAGTCAAAAAAGCTAAAAGAATGTTAGAAACCTTCAGGAAAGGATTATATAAGAAGACAGAAAATACCTTAATATAAATGTACAGAAAAGGGCCAAAAAATTATTGAGGATATCAAACAGCTTCCAGATAAGGAGAGGTTAAAAACCAACAACTATTCAGCATGAAAGACAAATGACTCAGAGGCAAGATGTATAAAATCAAGAATGGGATGGAGTAAGTGAATAGTGAACATTCTTCACACAACATAAGAGATGGGGCTCACACATTGAAATTAATAGTATCAAATTTAAAACAAACAAAAGGAAGTCTTTCTTCATATAACTCACAGCCAACGTATGGAATTTGTTGCCAGGAGATGTATAGGCCAAAAGTCATAACTGGTTCAAAAAAGAATTAGTTAAGTTCATGGAGACTATTAGGCCAAGATGGTCAGAGATGCGACCCCATGATATGACTGTCCCTGACCCTCTGATGGTGAAATATTGGGACTGTAAAACAGGAGTTAAATTATTTGATGATTGCCCATTCGGTTCATTCCCCTTGAAACATCTGGTATTGGCCATTGTAAGAAGACAGAACTCTGGATTGAAGGGGTATTGGCCTGCCACAGTATGGCCATTCTTATGTTTTGATTTGTTTTTAATGTTTCCTCACTCGCACATTTAGGCTGTGTCTAGATTACATCCCTCTTTCAACGGAGGGATGTAAATTAGGCACTTCGAAATTGCAAATGAAGCCTGGATTTGAACTTCACGCATTTCATTTGCATAATTACGGAATGGCGCTCTTTTGAAAAAGCGCTCTTTTGAAAGTAAAACCATAGTTTAGACATGGTTCTTTTGAAAAGGGAAAGCTTTTTCAAAAGATCCTAGACTGCGGTCTTACTTTTGCAATAGCGCTTTATCATAAGAGCGCCATTCCATGATTATGCAAATGAAATGCGGGAAATTCAAATCCCGGCTTTACTTGCAATTTCGAAGTGCCTAATTTTACATCCCTCTGTCGAAAGAGGGATGTAATCTAGATGTACCCTTAGGGTGAATCTTGTGATCTGAGTATGTTTGGGATGGATTCCAGGTCACACAAATCTACCTGGAAAAAATATGAATGTGAGAGGAGGCAGTCTACATTTTCCTGGGAAGCCTTCTGCAGGGACCAGCTGGTGGAAAGTTAATGTATGTGCTTGGAAACCTGAAATACACTAGACTATTAGAAGCTTCACCATGCTTTCATGATGCAACTAAGCTACAATGCCTGTAATGCCTGTTTTCAATGTCAGTTTCACATGAGAGTCTCTTGAACTAGAAGCTAGAAATCATCCCTCTGTTCTCAAAATTTTTGCACAAGTGGGCGACACTAAGGTCATGGAACATGTAAGTTTATACTCCTATATTTTATATACATCCTTATGCATACTGTGATGTATAACTGGAATTCAGTGGCAAAGAGAAGGACATGCAGCTAATCAGCATCTGTTCCTTTTAGGGTGAAAAGAATTGGTTGAGTTTATTAATTCTATATGCATATGCAATTATCTAAAGCTTTCCTGCAATAAATGTCACCTTGTTACATTTCACTGGCCAGTTATAGTTTTAATTGAATGTCTTTTAGAAAGACTAACTTACATTTCAAACTGAAATCCCTATTATTTTCTACGTGCAAAATGATGAGACAGTATTTCAGTAAATTACTGTGCATCTCACTTCTGTTTACTGCAGCATATGACTATCTTTTACATTAAAACCATAATAACCATGAGATACTGAAATATCATAGACTGTTAAAATATTGATAGCCCGCAATTTTCTATATTTTAACCACCTGGCTCGTAAATGAGGTAGTTATGTAAATTCTGTACCTTAAGCAGATGAAGTTTTCCTCCTGAACTTCTTGTACAAATTAAAAAATGTTTTGTAAATAAGAAGCATTGTCTTTCTCCTTCTTTTTTCAGAGACAATGATCCCAGGCGAACTTTACTAAGTTTCCCCCTCTCAACTGAAGGGACTTGAATAAGAGAACCTGGTGATTACAAAAGTGAAGAATATGCTGTAATTATAAAACTATTGAATAAACGATGCACCCAGAGTTAACGCAACAGATAATCTATTCTGTACTATATACAAAAAGCATTTATGCAACTTATTAACTCCCATAGGAGTGCAGATACTTTGCTCTTAGAACAGATACCAGTTATTTTTTTAACCCTCTAGATCGGTTTTCACCCTCTAGACCAAATTCAGGAAAGTTGTATATCTTTACACAAACAATAATTGCAACCCAATTTTTCTTTACTCGCATGAGGGCCACATTCAGCCAAATATAGCTTGCAGTCATGCTTGTGCTCCTGTAAGGGAGAATTCTTGGAAAATTACATGGGTAGTTTAAGTTATATATCATGTGTCACTTGGTCAGATAATGGAGATTAGGTGGCAATGCAGCACAATTTGCACTAATTTTGGCATTTAATAGCTCTGCAGAGTAATTTACACATCTAGGAGATGGAAGGAGGGAGGGTTAGGTTACAGTCAAAGGTGACTAGTGACTGCTGTGGAAGGGGATGGGAAGGCAGAATGAGGGCACCTAGCTTCAGCAATTAAAATCTAGGGGGCATATGACCCTTCTAGAGGAGCAGTGACCTCACATGCCTCCTCACACATCTATGCTTACAGCTGAAAAAACAAATCACAGAAGAACGTAAATAAGGCTGGCTTCTTCTCTGTTAGTTTACTCTGCACAATTCTCAGCCTTCTCCAGCCAAACCAAAGCTTACTGTATGCAGAAACAAATGTCACTGAATTCAATGGAGAATGTACTTTTACACCAATATCTGAATTGGATCACCACATAATTCCACGTTGATGAAAATTACATTATTATGATGCTAACACCATCTTTAATCTATTTTCTGACCAACTTTCACCAGATACCCAACTTATACCACCATTTGTGATCTTTATGGGGTCATATATTTTGTTATGGGGCAAATGAGCATTTCCTATGTATATCTGAGAGCAGTATCTAATCCAAAGTATATACACATTTTCTGAAAGGAACTTTGAAAAGCTTATCTCCTTAGTTAATGAATGTTAGCTTAAAATTTGTTACATTACACTGGAAGGAAAATCTTCCTGTTCAATCTTCATGTATAAAATGCTAAATTAATAAACAACATATAAATGGATATCAAATTTTTTATTGAGAAAGCAATGTCTAGTTTACATAAAATTTAGCTGAACACTTACCTTCTCCAAAAATACATTTTAAATTAACTTTAGACATAATATATAAAAAAGCTTCTATAAACAAGCAGAGTCAAATAAATACTGGTAACGACAATTAGAACAGAACTCCATTGACTAATGCCCATTTTATGTTTAAACTAGAGGAGCAAAATTCTCATCACTGCAAAAAGAATTGAATAATTTCAACTTTCTGAAGTTTTGCAGAACATTTTTTTGATTCATGGAACATTTTGCCAATTCACCTAGAACTGTGAGTAAAAATGTTATGGTTTTTTTTTTTTTCAGACAAAACTGCCTGTCGAGCTGAAAAGCTATTAAAATCACTAGCTTTGTATATTGAATTGTGACACTTACTCACTGACATCTCCCACTATCACCTTCCAAAATACAATGCAAGGCCTCACTTGAACTTTAAAAATTCTGAAACAATTTTCCATCCCAGAACTTCCATCATGGTTTATTTGTTTTTTAGGTCTTGAAATTCAAATTAAAATTTAATAGTAGTATCCATCTTATCCGTATTCTCCCTGGGGAAGAAGCAACTACATTATGGTTAACAATTTTTGTATTTACTCTCAGAGGCCTTGGGGGGAAAGCCTATTCTCGCTTACAGACAACCCCCTAATCTGAAACGAATTCTTTCCGGTAACCATGCCACACAACCACATCATAAGCATCCAGGAACCCAGCCCTGAAATCAGCTGCGGTGCCAACTCTGCCCACATATCTATACAAGCAAATTCATCACTGGAGCCAACAACATAAACTATAAAATCAGAAAGAAGATCATTTAACTGCACATTCAGTAATTTGATCTATGCCATCAAATGCCAGCAATGCCCCACTGCTATATATATTGGACAAACTGGACAGTCCCTATGGGAAAGAATCAATGGACACAAATCAGATATATATAAATCAAACCTACAGAAACCTGTTGGGGAACACTTCAATCTACCAAATCACTCTTTAAAAGATCTTCAAGTGGCTGTCTTGTCACAAACCAATTCTTCTAGCCAAATACACAGAGATGTGTCAGAATTACAATTCATCCACAAATTCAATTCTCACTCTGATGGCCTCCTTAATCGAGATAATGGATGACTGGGTCATTATCAGCCTAACATTCAATGAAGGTTCCAACAGCTCTTTGCCTGTGTAGAGTCTTGAGTTAGTACCCTTCCTCTCTAATTACTATCCTATTATCTTTATCTGCTTCTTTTAACTATCCTATCTTTAGGTGTTTATAGGTTACCAGTTCTACCAATTTGGTTTTCCCTTTGATAATTTCATACTCTCTGCTTCTTGTTTCCCACCCCCTTCCATTTTTTTTCCTTCCTCCCCTCTTCCTTCTCCCCTATTTATTTTGGGTCTGCACTCCCTAAACTCAAAACTCCGGACAGCTGAAGAAGTGGGCTGTGCCCACAAAAGCTCATGATACTACCTACATGTTTTGCTAGTCTATAATGGTGCTACCAGACCACTTGTTACTTTTTGTGTTATCACTTTGTTTAAAGAAGTATTAATATTCACCAAGGGGGTTAGAAATACTTTTTTTTTCTGATGATACGGTTAAATAATTTGAATAGTACAGTATTGAATAATGTCATGATGGGTGGAAAAGCATGTGTTAATGCCAAGTTGTGTTCCTATAGTAATATGAAATAGTATTGCTTAAGAAACCAACATAATGAACAGGTAATATGTCACATGAATTAAAACACTGTGTTAACTTACTTTGCTGGATTAAATAAACAGCCTAATATCAATCACATGTTGAGTCAGTTTACCAGCACATACTCTGTTGCTCTCATCCTGCAAAGAGGCCATTGTACATTTCTTTTGGGGTTTTCTATTTGGTGAACTATTAACAAAAGGAGCTAGGCATCTGCTTTCCACACATCCCACCAAAGATTTCCTTTCAAGGGGGGAAAAACCCAAAAACATATATTGGGACATCTCCCTATTGTAATAAGACAGGCTACTTTTGGAATACTCATTATCCTAAATTAATTCATGCTTCAATAGAATTTCAGATCAATCTTGAGTATTTTTACCAGAAATACTTGAAAGTTGTTTGATATTGCCAAACTATTCATTTTAATAACATAGCCGCAAATCAGGAAAGATGAAGTCATATTTTTCTTTTTTAAAAGAGATGTTATGTCTTCATACTGTTTCCTGATTTACGAATGCAATTCTGCTTTCTCCTGCTCTGGAAGATTCTAGACAGTTGGGATGGTGATTGGCTCTCAAACAAAGAGCCTAAGCTCTGCATGGCAAATAATGGGTGCTGAAATAATGCATATTGGGTCCCAATAGGTACTCAAGTCTATGGCAAATAATAGTTATAATAGCAAGGAAGAGGAAGAGGAAGAGGAAAGCAAAGGAAGAGAAACTAGTTTTTCAGCCTCCCATACCTACCCACAATTTCAATCAGAATGTCATTACCATACTTTAGTGAATATAACCCACAGGTTATGCAAAGTTTTACATATTCCCCCCACCTCCTGTGGGCTATACTTGTGCGTGTGTAATACAGGTTTTTTTTTTTACTGAAAGGAAGACAAGACTGACGCTTACTTGAGAAAAGCAGCATATTTTAATTTAATAATAGAGGCAGTAATATTAAAATTCATTAAAATACATTAAAATGCATTAGTTTGCTGTGCAAGTAAAAGAATAAAAACAATTTTAAAAAAGCTGTCTCCGCATTTTCATTCACTCTGATTTCTAGAATCAGCGCCAGCAGCATACTCCTCACCATCTGAGTTCTCAAAACCATCAAAACTCTCATCATAGTCACTGTCTTCAAAAACATCCATAAAATCCATAGCCAAAGTTAGGTGGTTCACAGAGTATTTTCTCCCTGTGGCTCGGTTTCCATTGTCCTTTGCAAATGCCACTACACACAACTTAAAATTGGCTGTGTAGGATTTGCACTTAGGCATGTTTAAAAGATTTAAAAAGTTTTAAAAGTTTAAAATACAAGTTAAAACCACTGAAGGAATAAATGAATGGAAAAGCAGTGTGGTTCAAAGGGGTTATATACCAGCGATAAGGGTTGTAGCCTACTTAGTGCTCGGCATTATCACCTGTGGCTCATTAACACTTGATTACAAGTGCTTTGTATTAACATTACCCGTGGATCATCTCCCACAGGCTATATATGTGCGCGGGGTATACAAGACTTTTTTTACTCAATCAAGGAAACCCATGCGTTATTCACAGGTGCGGGTAATACTTGTAGACCCACATAGATCAAAGAAGATAGAAAAAATGGGAGACAAAGGGAATGCAAGAAAAGGTGCCAGGTTAGAACCAGTAGAGGTCAGAGAACACATACTGTATTATACCAGCAGAATCCATGTAAGTTTCCCTCATGCTTGCCTACCAATGTATTCTGCATTGACCTCGAGGAAACACTTCTACAGGTTTAGAAGCTAGCTTATTCTCCAGACCCATTCAGTCCATGGTCTCTCTGTCAACAAAGACCCAATTAGTGTCAATGGTTACAGGCCAACTTTGTGACATGGACAGCAGAAAATCAAAGAAATGGGAAGGGGTTGTTTTTGTTTCGACAATTAATTTCTGATCTCTTCTACCATGCAATATGAGGCACAGTGGATGATTTTACAAGATACACAACAATATAGATTTTCAGATCTGAGATCTGAAACTAGTCTTTTGATAAGTTTCATTGGTTTACTTTAAAAAAAAGATAGGTTCTATTAAATTTTTAAAGGCACGTGAAAATAAATATACTAAGACTTCTTCACATGGTAGTTTTATTATACTTACTTTTTATTGACAAATTTCTAGGCATACAAACAAAACAAGCAATTATCAATGAAACAGATGAAATAATTCAAATAAATACACCAAAATATTGCAAGTACACTAAAATAGAACATAGTTTATACAGTATAATTAATTTACACAATACTCAGACTAGTGTCGGTCAAGGAAGTTTGTGTCTTGCAACTGTTTTTGGCACTAGATATAACGAAAGATATAACTTCTTGTCCAATATATTTTGTTGAATAATTTTCTTGCAAATACTTTGCTAAATTTACATACATGGTATTTTAGAGCAACAGGGATGGCGAGACAGGACCTTTTATTTAATTAGCTTCTATTGGTAAGAAAGGCAAGCTTTTGAGCTTACAGAGAGCTCTTCTTCTGACAGACTTGGAGCTTTTCTTTCTCACCAACAGAAGTTGATCCAATAAAAGATTTTACTTTACCCAACCTGGTCTCTAATATCCTGGGAACAACAGCATACTCAATTATGCCAAACATTGAAATCTAATCATGAAAAATCCTTCCAAAACCTACACAGATTTCAGAGTGAATGTGGTAGTAAGAATCTTGATGTTATTATCCCTTGATGCTATTGTTCCCATCTTCTTGGTAAGGCCACATATTATAAAGACTTTAAACATTAGATTTCCAGAATTTTACTAAATGTGTGTGAAGACGTGCACGCGCTCACTCACACACTTCAAAGGTCTTATAAGCTTTTTCATAGCTGACCATTTTAGTTCTAACACATTTAATATGAGTCCATATTTCAGGCCACTGATCTTAATGTTAAATGCACTTAAATTGTATTCTTAAGCCTCCCTGAATATCATTTTTTCGACTACTAAGAAGTTTATGCACATGAAAAGCTATAAATCCTATACTACAGATTTCTAGGTCAGCATAAATATCTGCTTGTTTGGTGCTAATGATTCAGAGATAGCCACTTACAAATATTTCCTTATTTAACAAATAAGTTTCATTTATCAGTTTTTCTCTAGTTTCTTTTAATATTATTGGCTTAACATAAGATCCACTCTTCTGAAAAATAAAATGTAATTTTTTTCAGTAAAAGGTGCCATATTAAAGTTTTCTTTTCATTACAATGATGTGGACTTTTATCATTAAGTCCATCACTACTAATTATGAACTTCAAAGGAAACTCTTTTAAAAACTATTAATACAAAGGTTGCAGTGTTTTACTCTCTCTCGTGTTACAAACTACTACATACTAGTGAATTTGAATCTTATGCAGTATGCTGATCTTCACAGTTTCTTTTTGCAGGAATGTTTCTGCCACTTATGCTGAGCTTTTACTAGAGTTCTTGAAACAAAATGCTTTTTTCTCGTGAACACAAATACATATATAATGTTGTCATGCTCTAATACCTCATGAATTCAAATACATATACAATGTTGTCATGCTCTAATATCTGATTTCAGCCGCTTGTCAGTGAAATATCCATCTGGTAGCAAAGGTTACCAAGTAGTTAAATTATAGCATTTTGACCTGTTCCTGAAGCACAAATGAAAAATGGGAACAACAGACAGCTGTTTTCATTCTTCACAATCTCTCCACCATTTGACAAAGCTTCAAGTACTTCTAGCTTCTCTTGTGTTTTTGTCTGAATGTTGGCATCATCTGAGATTGCAACATCAATTGGCCAGACGGACCTGTTCTCCGTGGAGCTGTAGATAATTTCTGGTCCATTGAAGATGATAGTCCAGTCTGTATGTACGCTACTTTCCCATGGGTGCTTTACTATTATTGTGCTGCTGTTTTTCATGGCCCCTGAAAAAAACAGCACAGAAGTGGGGCTCAACTGTAACCCAAAGCTATTTGTCATAGGGGCAACCTGTCACTTATCGTATGTGGACATCAGCCTTGTGATGTTGGGCACCAGCAGTGTCATCTTCCCAATGATGCCAACATTATAAAAAAACAGTAGAATTACATTTCTCGTTACAATACATGTACACACAGACATATTTTAAAAAAAGCCTTACCTTGACGTATAAATGTTTGGCTGGTATCTAATAATATATCACAGCCTTCTACTATCATTCGTTCTATGGCTAAATTTTTCCGGATATTTTCTGTGTCACTCACTTCATCATGCATCACCCTGTCAGGCACAATGAAAAAAAGAGGATTTTTAATCCCGTGAAAAGTATTTTGCAGTATTCATATATATTGCTATCAAAGTAAATGTAAAAATAGTTAGCCTCCCCAAGAATTCTCCAGAAGAACTATTATACGTCAGTTTTTAATACAACCTGCTGGTCAACACAAGGTAGTAATAAAAATAGCTGTTAAAAAGAAAAACAAGGTTTATAATCCTTGCTTCAACCTCCTATTCATTCATGATTTCATTCCAGTCTAAGTACTCTACTTTTACTACTTCTGAAACTGCTCTCACCAAAGTTTTGAATGACTTGCGTGTTGGCCAAGTCTCATTAATGCCAGCTATCTGAACTTTCTGAAGCTGCTAAAGCCATCTTTTTTGCACAGCAGATTTGGACACCATCCTACTGGAGGCAGGCGATTGGCCCTCTTTATCTATTCAATTTAGATTGTTTGTCCATGATTTCAAGGTCTTCCATAACTCTGCTCTAATTAAATCTGCTCTCATGGGCCATCTTGCAGCCTTTACTTATTCTAACAATACCAGATGTGATACCTTGTTTCCTCCTCCTATGCCTCTCTCTATATCTCTTCTCTACACATTAAGGTTCCAGTTCAGGACTGCGTGTTTAAATGCACTGCTGAACAGTGATGCTTTATTGAATTGTAAATCACCATCCTCTGAGCATCCAAATTTTTTGTGAACACATCCACACACTTTTGAACCTCTGCAAAGCCCACAAACACCAATCGTTATTTAGCTTTGCCTTGGTAAAAAAGAGTCAAATTTTAACATAAAAAATGTAAAAGTATTAAATAATTGTTTCTATATTTCAGAACTTTCCTTTCAAGCTTACTATATACAAGGGACAGAATCTTACCTTGAAAGTTCTTCTAGTTTAGATTTAGCAAATTCAAGGCTCTTTCTTTCCACGTGTTCATGGGGTGTATGAGCCAAGAGTTCATGAAGAGTTATAATATATCTAGGAATCTTAAACAAATGAAATACAGTATCAACATTTTTATTATAAGCAATAATACCAACTGATCTCTAAATTTCTAGCAGATTATTTACTCACTGACAATATCCATGTCCCTGCTCAGTTAGAATTTTTGCTACAAATTCAAGATGGGCTGCTAAGTACAAGAAAAATCCTCAAAAAATATCACAAATTGGTCAAGTCTATTTTTTATTAGTTTCCAATTGTCTGAGTGCCTTTACAAATGTTCTAGTGTAGCTGTCTTATGTCAGGTATGATTTTTTCAGTTTGAAGAAATTAAGATTCCCTGAGGTTACCAGTTCTATTAATAATGTTTAGGGTCTTACTGAATTCACAACTGTGAAATACATAGAAATAGGGCTATTGGGAGGTTACAGCATTGCCACTTTTGTGTCTGTGCTGCCTTCAGCGTTAGAGAGTAGTGTACTGACTGGGTACCAAGCACCGAAGGCCAAGCTAATATCACCAGCATTACAGAGGTAAGAGTGGCATGGTATAGGAGGTTGTTATTTCTGAGAGGAGAGCATGAATGGCCTTTCATGTGGGCAACTAGCCACGGTGCCAGGCTCAGGATGGGGGTGCTGTGGTCAATCCCCCATAAACACATGGCCAGCTCTAAGCCCCTTTAATTTCTGAGCACAAGGATGGGGAGCCCTGGTTGGAGGGCTCCAGCTGCTAGGCTTAGCCAGGCGATGAAAGGACAGGACTTCCATTTCCTGAGCACAGGCTGCTTCTGGGACAGGGTCAAACCCACCTCCACCAGCAGAGCAGAAGTGAATATGGCAATACCATACCAGGCCATCCTCACTTCTGCACTGATGCTGGTGGCAGAGCTGCCCTCAGAGATGGGTGACTGGAGAATGGCAGCTGAAAATGAAACCAATTTAAAGTGTTTCAAAAATGGAGGCACTCAAAATTCCTAGTCACTTTTACCTTCCTTTCACATCGGTTAAAAATCCTAGCCAAAGGGGTTGCGAATCTGCATAACATATATGAATAAGGTAATCAATGATTAAGATAATAACATCAATAAGAAATCAGTAATTAAGATACCATCCCCTTTTTGGATCTCTACAGGTGCTAATGAAAGTAAACCCTTCACTCAGATATGGCTATTAAATAGTATTGTTTATACAAATATCAGTATTTTCCTTCTCTCCCCCCTCCCCATTCATTTTGGGTCTGCACATCCTAAATTCAAAACTCTGGTCATCTGAAGAAGTGGGCTGTACCCACGAAAGCTCATGATACATCTACATGTTTTGTTAATCTATAAAGTGCTACCAGACAATTTGTAGTATTTTTATATTCAGCATTTATCTGGAGGAAACACTTAGATGAGTTGAGAAGCCAGCTCATTCTCCAACCCCATTTTTATATCAGGAACACTTTCATTTGCAAAAATTACATAAATGAAGAAAGAATTTTAATAATTAAGTAAATAATTATGCCAAATGTATTTGCTGCAAAGCAACTAGGGTGATAATCTATAAAACCTTGCAAACAAATGAAAATAATTCATCCAATTAAACCATGACATGTTATCAGAAGTACAATACACTTTTTCAAATTATTAGGAAAGATTCTTCACCAGACTTAGCAGAAGTTGATCTCTGAAGAGCAGAGGGGTTTGTCAGGGAGTTAAAATCTGCTCCTTGATTATCTACCTGGTCCCACCATTAACTCAGATTATACAAGACTTGCGGCTGCTCTAAATTGCAGCAGCTGGAGTGTGGCTCCCTATAGACTGCTTCATGCTGTTGGAGCACATCAAGTTAGAGGATCTGCTTCTTTGTTTTTATTTAGGCACAATTCCTCCCCCCACATTCCTCTTTCTGGAACCAGTGCAGTTTTGAGACTATGATTCCACATGCAAACAATATCAGAATAATAATGAGATAAACAAATGACTAAATTCATTTTCATTCAATTGTTATGAAGCAATTAGTTACCTTCAACTGATATTAATTATTGCAACACTAAATTATGAAAATTAATTTTACAAATGAACAATCACAAACATGTAGAGTGACTACCTGAAACATAGGGTAAGTAAGGAATGTTTCCAGCATTCGCCCCTCGCAAGCTGGGTTGGCTTCATATTGCTTCAAGAGTTTGTCAAAATCTCTGTTTTGCTTACAGTTTGCAAGTACTTGAAGACTGTATTGATGATTCCGAACAAATTCTTGATAAATGTTCAGCATTGGCAGCAAAATATCAAATAAGTCGGCTAGAAAAAAAAAGATCAAGATAACCCTTTTTTCTGGATATCCATATCTTACACACACACAAAAGAGTTGGCTCTACAGAGGTGGCATTATGATCAGCTCCATTTTCATTATTACTGGAGAGTCACATAAATTTTGTCCCTCTCTTGAAAAAGCATAACCATCCTGATTATACAGTAGCTACCAAATGACAATGGAAAGTTCAGGTACTGTGCTGAGGTGAGACAAGTCTTTAGGCAGAGGCTGATCCCAAGGAAGTCCTCCAATAGACTGACCTCAAAAGGAGCCCTCATGCCTCTGAGGTGGCCTGTTATTCCCCACAAAAATACTGATAAATTGACAATTTTCCTCCATCCATAATAACCATATACAAATATGTGTATATCATTAGTTATGTAAATGTGCAGTATATAAAAGGGATAATCTAATTTTTAAAAGTCACCCAATGGTAAAAAGTGACATGAAAATCTCAGTCTGATTACAGATAATAGTAACTTACCTAAAATTAAAGTGGGCCAATTACTTATCCTTGCTTTTAATCCTTGATGAAATATTTCATGAAGAAACATTATAGTTTCACTGAAAAGGAAGTATTGAAAGAATAAGAAAATTCAAACCTTATTTTCTAATTTCACTACAAAAATAATTTCCTATTAGTATATTTTGCACTTTGTGCACTCACAATATTATGGAAATCAACATTTGCATCAATATGTTGCTTTCATTTTTAGTCTTTAACAACTAAAAATTCAACTTTTTTATGTATAGTAACATCTTTATAAAACACTTATAGCAGATTACATGGATATGTATTCCAAATGTTTAGCTATTTGATTAAAATTGCTTATTAAATCACAACTTCCACATACTTTATTAAGCATGTGTACCTAATGCAGCAGTATTTTGGACAAAGCATTATGTTAACTTAAACACAGCAGTAAGACACAGAAACATATTCAGCTTTATTCTAGTTTTTCAGGCTTGCATTGCACCAGATAAAAACCTTACTGTTTTTTATTTCAGTGTGGGCTTTAAAATTGAACATCTTGTGAGATTAATGCCAATATAACTTACTGGAGTTATTTATGCAATAGTGCATTTGGATCTTGAAAAGAAATCTCACAGGGCACATAAACAAAACTGCTCATAATTATGATTTCCTTCTCTGAGTTCAGCTGTTTGACTTGCAGACATTAGGAAGGAAACACGCAGAACAAGGAAATCAGCATGAAAGATCAAACAGTATGGCCCATGCATGTTTCAAAGGCCCCAGAACGACACTTGGTTCTCTGAATTAACAAAGCCAGAAAGCTAAGTTACTAACTAAACAATAGTTGGAATACTATGCAGTAAGCATTGACTGTACAACTCCAAGTTTGAAATGGTTGGGGCATTCTCATTCTCTCCAATAAATGCCTTACAAGCCTCCAAAATTGTGTTTATAATGAGAAGCATACACCTAACCCCACTCCTCATTCAGTCTGACCAGTTGTCCATTTTTCATTCACTTGCCATTATATTATCTGTGTGCTATAGTATCAAGCTATTTGGCACAAATAATAATTCTGACTTGCAGGGAAAGTTGATCTGGAGGGACAGACAAGTGAGAAAGAGGTTCTTTAGGCAGGACAAAATAAAATAACAAAATTCAGCATCTCATCCTTAAGATGTACCAGGACCATCTGAGTTCATTAAGCCCTGTCTTGTCTGAGACACAGACATAGAGGAAGAAAGGAAGAAAAAGTTTTTTCCCCAGTGCACAGGAACTGCATTGTGAAGTTGTGCTTTCCCTATTGCAGCAGAGGAAAAAGCAGAATGTGGGTCTGCAGAGAGGTCAAACAGGTATAATTTAAAACAGGGGGAAACAGATCATACTCTAACTTACAACCCAGACAATAGTGTTTATTTAAATGAGGTTGTGTAACCCACAAACCTAGGCTACTGGCATGATCTTGTGCAAAAACTCTTTAGCGCAAGAGTTCTTGCGTTAAAGTAGTTGTGCAAGAGAGCGTCTACACTGGGCATGTGCTTTTGCGCAAGAGCATCCATGCCACTGTAGACACTCTCTTGCGCAAGAAAGCTCTGATGGCCATTTTAACCATAGGACTTTCTTGCGCAAGAAATTCATATTGCCTGTCTACACTGGCCTCTTGCCCAAGAACAGTTTGCGCAAAAGGGCTTATTCCTGAGCGGGAGCATCATAGTTCTTGTGCAAGAAGCCCTGATTTCATACAGCAGAGCATCAGTTTACTTGCACAAGAACACACGGCCAGTGTAGACAGGCAGCAAGTTTGCGCAAGAGCAGCCCCTTTGGCGCAAGACTGCACCAGTGTAGACACAGTCATAGTGTGGTTACTGAGCAATGCAAGTAGTACCTAGACCACAGCAACAGTTAAGATCAAGAGACCTCTACAGCATGAGCTGAGAGCCAGCTGGCTTTTAGCTCAGAGGGTAGAGGCTCCTATGCTCAGCTCCAGAAGCCCCAGGTTCAAATCCACCCGGTGGCGGTTACAGTTGCACAGGGTAAAAGTCAAAACAAAATGTCCTCCAACTTTACTACTGTAAAATTGATGCACAGTGAGAAGTGGACAAAAATCAAATACCTGTTGAGAAAAATGCTACTAACATCATCGTGATTAATAGGTGGTTTCTTTGAACTTGCAGCCATTCTTAAGGGCCTGAGGAAGCAGTTTACAAGAACGTAAAGTTGATGCACATATTCAGATTCAGCCTCAACCATGTTAAAAACTATCTGGTTTCTCTTTCTCATGCTTTCCGCATGTGGAGAACAAATATAATCTTGGACAATTGTCTTCCATTTTCTTCTGCATAACCAGCCTCGCATAAAGCTCTGAACCTAAAATTGATCAAACACAGAAGAACAAGAAGAGTAATGAGAAGCACTTTCAAAAAGTTACCATAAAACAAAGACATTAAGACAGTTTTTTATCATGGTAAGAGATGTTTGTATTACATTTATCTTCATTTTGAAATATGCGAATATGCTATGCATACTCCGTTGTTAATTTCAAGGCCTAGCATTTTCTAATCATTTATTGCTCAATAATTGCCATGTGTGACAGGCTGGATCACAGGCGTTCCTGTGGGATTAACTCCCACTTTGCTGGTCATGCCACTTAGCCCACAAACTTCCTCTGGGGTGCCCCATCTCCCTCTCCGGTTGGACCAGAAGCTTTGGTCTCCACCAGCCAAGGCACAGAGTTGGAGTAATAGCCCCCCAGCAAAGCAACACAGACTTTGAATTAGCTCAGCTCTGGGAGGGCTCAGTTATAAAGTCACTGACAGCACCCAAGAACACATCCCCCAAAAGAAGACAAAAACCCCAAATAAATCAAGCTTTCTCTGTGCATAACTTTTATACAGAGTAAGACAGATTTATTTGTGGTTTTGGTCCTCTTTAGGATTGTGTTCTCTGGGGTGCTATCCATGACCGGTATTCCAGATGAGGGAAAACAAAGCCATTCCCTGGTCATTGACTTGATCACCCAGCCATTAAATTCCTAAAGTATAAATAATGGCTTTTACTAGAATACCCAGACTAATAAAACAGGTTCTTGCTTAATATTTCTAACTTCACAGACAAGAAAGAGACATGCACACAAATAGGATATACAGATTCAACAGATTAGAACTTTTAAAATGACATATCATAGGATGTACTTCACATAAAGCATCTTTTAGTTATGCATGCTCATATTCATAAGCCAATTTTCACAAAGCATGGGAGAGCTGTGATGCCATGCATGTACATTTTAAAGAGATCCATTTATTAGAAAAAACATCTATAGCTGTTCAGTAAAATTTGGAAATAGAAAGTAGACTGGAGAAATATAGCACATATATACTAGTACAGCAGTGGGCAATAATTTTTAATGGGAGACCATGCCAAGATTTTAGTAAGTGATCAAGTGTCACACTTCTATGGAGGGTGTGAGGGGTCTGGGACAGTGGGTGGTGTGTAGAGGGAAGTTTGGGATAGAGAACTGGGGTGCAGGAGAGGGTTTTGGATCAAAGAGGGAGTTTGTGTGAAGGAGGGGGTTATGATCAGGGGCAGGAGTTTGGGGTCCAGGGGCCAGGAGGTACAGGAGAGGATTCTGGCCTGGGGAGGGGTATAGGAGGAAGTGTAGGATCTGGGAGGGAGTTGTGACCTGGATGAGGGAGGGAAAGGGGAGACAAAGGGCTTGAGGGGTGACCGGAGAAATGGGAGGAGAGAGGAGATGGGGTGCCTGAAGGCAGGCTCTTGCTGGGAGGCACTTATCCACTTATCTAGGCAGCTCCCAGCCAGCAGCCCTGCAGAAACCTGAGAAAGGCTCCATTCCTGTCTGCTGGGCTGGCTGCTCCACACGGCTCTAATCCAGCACAAGGAGAGGGGAATGAGGGAGGAGACTTTGCTCGCTGTCCCTGCCTCCAGCAAAATTTCGTAGCACGTTTTGGGGGTGGGACAACGCGTGAAGACTCCCAATCCCTCACCAGCATGCATGGAGAGCCAGCTTTTAAAATGGCAGCTAATGTGTAGTAAGGGTGCTGGTGAAGTGGCCATAGGCTAGATCTGGTAGCTTGGTGGGCCGGATGTGGCCTGCCAATTACCTCTTGCCCACCCTGAACTAGTACCTTTGAAAATAAGCCCTGGTACCATTATCCTTGTATATGTTATTCCCACCCACCATTTTCCCCCTTGTTTTCTGCTGTTTCAATCTCTCTTTGGTCAGTTTTCATCTTGTTATTTGCCTAACTGGTACTGAAGCTTCCCATGGAAGAGAACAAGGGGCAGTTTTTGATCTTGCAACTCTGGTATAACTCTAGCAAGTTATATAAATAACTAAAGCCTGCTACTACAGACCTAGCCTGCCTACACTACTACCAGAGAAAAATACAGTGTTTTGTTTCTGTGAGACATGGAAATCATCACTCAACGCAGCAAAAACCCAAGCTAAAAGTGGATTTGAGTTAGCAAGAGAAAATATAATTCTGGCCATTTAGTTCCTGTCCTTACCCTAATATGCAGTTACTCCTTCTTCTAAAGGAAATCTAAAACCTCACATGGGAACATGTTAGTTTCAATAAATGCATTTAAATATAAACCAAATGTAACACATCTCTCAAGACATATATTTACTGAACAACTGTATGACCTTACTATAGAAAAGCAGTAGGCTCTCTATAAGGAAACCTAGCTAGTCTTAAGTACAAAGGCCTGTTGATTTAGCAAGAGAAACCCAGATATGGCATAGACACAAAAAATGACTCCAGGCCTCCTCCTTCAGACAGGCTGAGTGAAAACGCGAGTACAGAGTCACACCACAATAGATATATCATTAAATAGGGTACGGTAAGAACATGAAACACACATTTTCAAAATATAACTTAACATTTGTGTGGTTATCTGTAAAATTTTGCATATGCAACTCCCAAAGGAAATTTCTGGAGCACAGATACCTGCATGCATAAGTAATGATACTAAAAATTCCTCCTGCACTTGTTGCATGTGCTAACTTTGCAAGGTCCAAATAAAGCCTGGGTGTAGGCCCTTTTGAATGCTTGTCTACAGCGTTCTGAAGATATTACAAATCAAAAAGACCATGCTGAAAGTCTACTGTTTTCTACATTTCTAAAGTGTATTACATGCAGTAACGAGATATAAACTGCTCTATTTTTACTATCTAGCAACCTTCTTCAAAAACTGCACAAATGGGGTATGTCTACACTACAAAGTTAATTCGAAATAACAGCAGTTATTTCTAATTAACTTTAATAGCATCTACACAGGCAAACCGCTATTTCGAAATAAATTCGAAATAGTGGAGCCCTTATTTCAAATTTGGTAAACCTCATTCTACAAGGAGTAATGCCAAATTCAAAATAGCTATTTCGAATTAAGTGCTGTGTAGACACTTAATTCGAAATAGGGGGCCTCCAGCCCTTCCCAGAGAGCCCTAGCAGCCACTCTGGGC